GGAGAATAAGGAACACAGCCATGGGGACAGACAACAATATCTACCTCGATGTGGAATAGCTTTCAGGACTGTGAGGTCTCACAGAAGAAACTGACTTTCTGAAACAGAAGAAACTTACTTCCAAATATGAGTCAGGGCTGGCTTTGTTTTTTCATCTGAGCTCGGATTCAACTCTGATACAGGAGAGGTCTCTTCAAGTTCTGGTTCTTTTTGGCCCCTCCTCGCTTCCAGCCTGCATTAGGAACTCCATGTGCCTGGCCCTGGGTGGTAGGAAACCTGTATCCCTGTAGAACGTCTTATCTTTGGTGAAACAAACTGCCCTATTTCTTCACACTTTCACTGTTAACAAAAGACAATGCAAAAGATTCTCCTACTTTTAATATTTCCACTGGCTTAGAATAGCAAGTTTTTGGACTGAATTCTATTCCACCTGATTTAGGGGAGAGACGTGGGCATTTTTTTTTTTCAGAGAAGCTCATTTTTCAGTAATGTGAGCCTAAAGATTTATAAAATAGACTTATATTAAATTATGTTAATAGAAGCCTAGTAAATGCACCATTTAATTGCATGGAAAAAATGTTCTCTTTTAAGAGGTCTGTCACCTTAACAGGTACATTCAAAGATTCCCTGTGAATAATGAAAATAGGAACAATTGCTTTGATGCACTGAGCTGTATTCATCGTCTAGGACAGCTTTAGGCTGTGTTTGGAGAGGGTGGGAGGAGCTCCTTTTAAAAGCAGTGATTGCTCCTTTAAACCCAATTTCCTCTGGCAAATAGGTCTATTGGAGTGTCATTCTCCTCTCCCAACACCCCTAAGTCTGGGCCTGAGAGTTTACCCAGACCTCTCTCTCCTGGCTCTCTCAACTTTTTCTCCTCCCCAGACCCAGATCTAAATGCCTTCCCACCTCCCTCAAAGAAATCTTCCAAGTGCCAGGAAAAGTGAGTCTACCTTACCTGCAGGAAAGGTAGAGGTGGGAAGCAAAACAAAACAAAATCTGGTGCAAATAACTCTTCTCTTTCCGTATATATGACCACCACCAGCAGAGCGCTCTGTCTCTCTCTCTCTCTCTCTCTCTCTCTCTCTCACACACACACACACACACACACACACACACACACACACATCCTGTTGCTTTCTGTGACCACTTTCAGTCAGAACAGTCAATCACCTTTCTGACAAGTCTCTGACCAGTCAGGGAAAGCCAAGCAAACTGCATTTCTAATCCTGATCATGTTTGGTATAGGGTCCTGGTGAGGAAAGGAAGGAGGAGGCCAAAGATCAAAGACTTCACACCCCCAAGTTTTTCTTTCTCTTAAAATGCCCTCTGATATCATTGCGGGGGCAGAGGGAGTGTGGGATTATGTGTGTGTAGGGCGGAGGGGGACCAAGGTAAGATGACCCCTGCAGAACAGTTCAGAATAAGGGGCGCTGTCACCTGGTCTCTATCACCTGCACCGACCGACACCCTGGGGACAGGCTGCTGGCTCTCTTCTGCTCACGGCATGGTTTGCAATCAAAAAGACATGCCAAGTGCTAGTATCAATGGGAGGCCCTTGGCCTTGGGCTTGTGCTGGTCACTGTGGGAGGGTGAAGGGGAAAGGTCTCCGTTCTTCTTTTTCTCTCAGAATGTTAGGACTGGACTGGGACACAAGGGCAGGAGGTCATTCACTCCCACCCAGGACCTCCTCCTGTTTGAAGCCACCACGGGACTTGCTCTCAGAGATGGGCTCGACCACACTAATGGCTCCTGGTGCCCATTCCTTTTCTCTTTGTGGAGCACGATCCTAATTTCTACTTCTCATTTTCATTCTCTCTCTCTCTTTACATTATGTGTGTACAGGCCCCTAAGAGGCCACGGTTTGGGGGTAAACAGAATTCTGTTTTTCTAGTGGGGGCATAATGAAAAATTGGCATCTGGTGCTTCCCAGCTAGAGAAATTGTCAAGAGTGACCCCACACATCTTAAACATTCCTCTTTAATAAATCTGTGGATATTTCATAGAGTGTTTGATATCAAGATTGTTTAGCAGAGCATTTGTGGGTCCAAGTGTTGGCCTAGAATTTTTTGAACCTACATCAGAGAGTCCCAGTCTTGTTCAGATTTGCAGACTTCAGAAACATCAACTGATTACTCGGGGGGTGTAGTGGGGGAGATATAAAATCTACCCTAGTAGACAGGGAGACCTCATGGTTCACTCTTACAGTGAGAAGAAGGTCCACTCGGCACCGAATCTCCTAGAACCTCCCTGAAAACCCTAGAGAAGGTGCCTGTGGAGAATGTCCAACGTCTAGATAGGTACCTATGCCTGAAACTTTTTGCCTCCGGTGGGAGTGGGGGATGTGCATTGTTTATTCTTCTCTTCCCTAAGGCGTTTTCCCCAAAGACAGGAAGGAGGGCCGCTGAGACCGTCCAAGTAGCCCAAAACCTGGCGAGGAGGGCTGGCGCCGCGCGCCCTTCTCGGGGCGGTGGCGCTGGGCGCGCCGCGCAGCCCGGGTGTGGCAGGTGGGTGGCTCCGCGCTCCGGGCGAAAGGCCCGGGGAGAAGCCAGGCGCAGAGGCTCAGGTTCACACTCGTCTAGAACTTGGGAAGGGCCAGGCCTGCGCGCGGGACGGCTGGGGGGCAGAGCCCCGAGTGGATGGGAGGGAGACGGAGGTGTGTGCCCACCGCCCCGCTGGGGCTTCGCTTTGAGCAGGAGCGCAGAGAGCTGCAGCAGGGGCTCTTTGTCCTTCCTATTCTTTCCCGGGAAAGAATTCTCCGTACACGCCCGTTCTCGCCTCGAAACCCCTTTCCTCCCACCCCTGTACGCACTCACAGAGCAGACTGTTTATGGGGAAGGAGAGACCGGATCTTCAAGAAAGACTGCGGGGCGGGCACCTCCTCTTCGCGGCGGGGAGCGCGACCCGCCAGAGGCTCCGCGCGTGACACAGAGACCCGGAGGCTCAGCCTCCCAGGCCTAGGCAGGAGCGAGCTGGATGCCTGTGACCGCAGCGCAGGACTGGGCCCAGGTCTCTGCACAAAGCCGTGACCGCTCCCTATTCAGTTCGACGCTGTGGGATCCCTCCTCCCTCCCGCCTGCCCTGGCCCGTACCCGAATGGGAACTGACCAGGGCGGGCTTCGGAAGTTGGAAGGGGGGCTTTCCTTCTCCGGAGCTTCCCGTGTGTGTGTGTGTGTGTGTGTGTGTGTGTGTGTGTGTGTAAGAGAGAGAGAGAGAGGGAGAGAGAGGGGGGAGAGAGAGAGAGAGAGAGAGACGGGGGGGGGGTGTCAGGCGTGAGGCGGGGAGAAAGAAGGAAAGAAAGAAAGAGAGAAAGAAAAAGAAAGCAAGAAAGAGAAAGACCATGGTCACATCCTCCCTCCTTTCCGCCTTTTCCCAAACTAGCTTCCTGATCTCAGTTTTAGAGCCCCATCTCACCTGGTGAGGTTTCCCACACATCTAAAGTAAACCAGACCTAAAGAAATGTGTCTCTGTGTTTTGTAAACCGTTCCTATGGCTTGAACCTCATGGGTGGCATCTTTACAGAAAATAATTCGAAATAACTCTGATGGATGTTCGTGGGCTCAGCTTGCAGGGGATGAGATCTAGTTTCCATATTCCCAGCTTCACTTCTGTCCCTTAGATGACAGGCCCTGGCTGCACTGAGCAGAGAGCCAGGTTGCCTTGCTGAAGGCAGAGCCAGAGTCAATCTCCAGGACCAGGTTTGCAGGAATTAACTCTGCAAGATGATGGTAAGAGAGGGATTAGAAGGGAACAGATTTAGGGAGACCAAGAAAAACTGCAAGAGTCCAAAGGCACCTCTGAGCTATTTTGGAAAAGTGAGAATGTAAATCTTTGGGCAGACTAATTCCCTATCCCTGCCTGTTTCCTTAGCACTGATGGAAACCAGCTAATTTCTTAGCTGCTGGCACAACCAGGAAGTAATGTTTCCAGTCACTTGCAGCATCATTTGTAAGTTTCCTTGGGTGGGCTTCCAACCTGTTTGCTGGACTGTTGCTCTTTCTAAAACTATTCTGACTATTCAAATTCCTTCACATAACTCAGGTTTTAGTCCTGAGAGATGTAGGGGGAATGGCAGGAAAAGGGGAATGACCAAATAAATACCTTCCCCTGCTAAATAAATCAAAGGGTTTGTCATTAAGTGCCAGTGTCACTTTAAATGGAGTGACTTGTCATATCCACTGTGAAAAGCTTAGCTATTTTGAGGATGGGGAGTTACTACCTGGTAGGCTAAAATCATGACTGAGGGCGTGCCACAAACTTCCTCAACCAAAGACCTACATTACCAGGTTTTAGTCAACACTTTCCTCTGAATTCTCAGACACATTCCTCCCCCCACACCCGCCCCGTCCATGCTTTTTTCTAGATATAGAGGAGAAGGAGATGGGGGAAAATGGTGAGAGCAAACTTCACAAATTTAAAACCTTGATTTTGTTTCCTTTATTTAAATAAATATAAATATAAATTTTATATAAAACTATTCACATACAAAGAGACCTCCAGCAACTTGAATTCCAATCTCTCCCCAGGCAAATTTTCAGAAAGTGAGACCTACAGGGTTTAATTTTCTAAATTATTTGCAATTCAATACTTTCATTAAAAAAAAAAAAACAGAAAATAGTCAAGAAACCCGGTGTTCCTCTTAGGTTCTGAAAGATGGTAGAGAAGGGGACCCGCCGACATGCGCTTTCAAAAACCTCCATACAGTGTTAAACTTAAATCAACGCTGTTTTTTTCTTCCCTCCTGTGTTATATGACAAGACTGAGTTGAATCTAGATTATTTACATTAAAAAAAAAAAGAGCTATAACATCCAGTGGAGCTTCAAACATATAGGGTCAAGGATTACACGTCAAGGGTCAGTCCGGACTCCTGCGCCCGGAGAGGGCTCAGCTTCCTTCTCCATTGGGACCACGCAGTGGGCGAGGATGCTGGCCCCTGCGTGCCAGCCGCGCTGGTGGTGTGGGGGCCGCCGGGCGCGTGTGGTGAGGAGGAGGCAGCCCTCCCTCATAAGGGAGAAATCTCCTTGTCATCATTGGCCGAGGCCGGGGACAAGGAGTCCTCATCCTCCGAGCGCGCGTAGTGCGCCTGGCTGCCGACACACTTGCAGCCCGCGTGACTGTTCCTCTGTGTGCCCTTCCCTTCCTTCTTATGCTTCACCCGGCGGTTCTGAAACCAGATTTTCACCTGTTTCTCCGACAGGTTCAGGTAGGTCGCGATTTCGATCCTCCGGAGTCGAGACAGGTACATATTGGAAGAGAATTCCCGCTCGAGCTCCAGGAGCTGCGTGCTGGTGAACGCCGTCCTCATTCTCTTGCCATTGGGTACCTGGCTGGCGTCCGAGCCTCCTGCAGACCGGCCAAGAGAAGGCAGAGAGGTAATTCTCGGATGACGCCTTCCCACCCCACGTGCCACCCCTTGGAAGGGACGCGTCTCGAGGACCCACCCGCGAAGCTCAACCAAACACCTGTATCCATCCCTCACCCTTTCCCATTTCGCGGCACTGCGTTACTCGGCAGGGAAGGCCAGGGACGCCCAAAGCAAGCGAAGGCCTTTGATGTGCGAGATGTAAAGTCAGAGGCTTAAAGGAAGGGTCGGGACTTGCATTGTCGGGTCGTTTCCCTTCAAGCCCGGTAGAGAAGCAAGCAGGCTTAAGCCAAAAGCCTCGAAACGCTTCAGCTAGCCCCGACGACGGAATGCCACGCTGAAGTTCAAACATAGCCACCCCAAACATCAGGCAACTAGCCTTCGATTTCTCAACCCTCAAGTTCGAGGTCTCAAAGGGCCCGATATTATGCAAGACTCGGACACCAGGTACCGGGCGTGAAATCACCAGGCTGCCCGGAGAGGTTCAAAGCTAACTTCCACCTTCGTGGGACTTCTGGGGACGTCTACACAGTTACACGAAAAGCCCCTCCTCCCACCCCACCCCGCCCCCCAGGCTGCCACTTCCTCCGCTGGAGGCGGAAAGTTTGCTCCTGAGAGCCGCGAAGGCGCGGCGCGCAGGTGCCCAGAGACCCCACCCTACCCATGGTGAGGCAGTGGAATCTCCGCGGGTCCCCCACGTTGTAGGTGGTGGCGGCACAGACAGGTGCGTGGTGCTGAGGGTGCCCCAAGGCCGCCGCGGCCGCCGCCGCAGCCGCTGCGGCCGCGGCGGCCGCGGCAGAGCCTGGCTGCTGGGGCTGATGGTGGTGATGGTGGTGCTGCGGCGGGTGGTGATGATGGTGCGCGTGGCTCACGCGCGGGCAAAACTGCGCGTCCCCAGGACCCGAAGAGAACTGACTCTTGAGCAGGGGCAGGGTCCCGGCGCCCCCCGGCGCCCCACTGCCCACGGCCCCTGCGCTCCCGGTCCCAGCTCCCCCGCCGCCGGAGCCCGCCGGCCCACGGGAGGAGTGCAGGTGCGAAGTGACGCAGAGTGGGCACACGCAGAACGCGCCACTCTTACGCGACGGGCAGCCGGCCCCTGACACAGACATCACCAGCGGGGATGGCATGCCCAGCGGGATGAAGAAATCTGGCCCGGGGTGCGGCTCAGGCAGCGAGGGTGCGGGCCGCGAGGAGTCCTTGATGATGAGCGAGTCGACATAGAAGGAGCGCGACATGTCAGGAGGGGTGGGTGGCTGGAGGTCCCGGCCGGCGGTGGCTCCCCCTCCCCTCTCCTGTTCTGAGCTCTGCCCCGGGTGCGGCGCGGACGCAGGCGGTCAAGCCCTTGGGGACGCGGAGGTGTTCGGCGTCTGGGCTGCGAACAAAGGGGTCCCTGGAGAGGGCTGGTCCTCACGTCCCCCGCCCGGCGCCCCGGCTCCAGGATTTTATAGCCCCCACCCCGGCACGTGATGCTGCAGAGTACCGCTCGGCTCTGGCTCCTCAGCAGCTCCCCACCCTCGGGATAGGCTGCCCGAGTCACAACAGAAGCGGCGAGGAGGGGCGGGCGCGCTGCAGGGAAGAACTCGAGGGAGGGGGATGGGGGAGACTTTGCAAAGTGTAGGTTTTGTTAATTTCGCGGGGACGCCGGCCTCCTCCGCCTCCTTCTCCACGCTTTCTCGAGAAATCAGAGCTGCATCCCTCATCCTACTCCTTTCCCTAGCCTGGGCCCCAGCCCAACTCTGCCCCACGCCCGGCCGAAAAGCGCACCAGGTGGAGACCTTGAGGCCTGTTTTAATAGGGATGCGCGGTGCTCCCTGCCCCTCGGTACCAGCTGTGGCTGAGGCGCGGTAAAGGGGGGCCTGCAGTTTGGAGCACGACTGTGAGGGCAGAGGACTGGCAGCGGCCCAACCCCGGATCGCGGCTTGCACCACGGATGGACACACACACACACACACACACACACAC